CATGGATTATTTTTATGAATACTGATATCTTTCAAGGTCACACCAGCCAGAGGCATGTCAAACACGAAACTCTTATAGACTATAAACCTTCATCCAAATATGACTAAACGAAAAATTAATAAGAAAGACTGATCGAAAGTACAACATATTTTATAAAGAGAAAATACATGCTGCTAAAATATGAAGATTGAGAAGCAAGTAAGACAAAATAATTTGAATGTAATAATGACTGAAATATAAAACAAGCTGATGGGATTGTGATGCAGTAGTGCTTGGAGAAATGACAGTATCAATTATTTCTATTAGAAAATAAAACATGCTTGAAAATAATAAATTAAACTAATAACTAAAGAAATAATAAACTCAAATAATGCAAGAAAATAAATTAGGGCTGCCCACTTAACATTAAAGAACCTCTCAGGGAGCTAGGCCCTGAAGAAAACTGATTCTCCCTCCCTCACTATTCATTGATTGCCTGCAACTCTACCTTGAGGTGAGATCCCATGACATTCTCCCTCTCCACCTTGGCGTGGAAATGGGATGTGTCACTATGAAAATTTCATTAAACAACCACACTATGGAGATCTCATTGGTACAGTTTCCCTCTCATGTCTAGACTGCACTAAGAGTAGGTGTCTTATCCCTCTGGCTCTTTCATGTCTCTTTAACGTGAAGAAAAAACAGGCTAGAGCAAAATATAAAAAGATCAAATAAGCCTGGCGTGGTGGTGCACGCCTTTAATCCCAGCTCTTGGGAGGGACAGGCAAGCTGATCTCTGTGAGTTCAAGGCTAGCCTGGTCTACATAATGAATTCCAGGACAGCTGGGGCTACAGGGAAAAAAAAAAAGGTCTTATAAAATGAGGATAATCTGAATTAACTGGTATAAGAGCCTTTTATGATTTGGAAAGAGGGTAAACATGCTAATTAAATCTAATCTAGTTAAAAAAGTAGGCTGGTATAATGAAAAAAACAAAACAATAGAATATAAATATGTACTTGTAAACCTGTGAGGGAAACATACATAATTCAATATATAAGAAGGAACAGGAGAAAACAAACAAAAGAGAATATATAAATATGAAAGCAAAAATAGCAGCAAAACCAATAAATCTAACATATTAGTACTAGACATGAGGATAAAATGCCATCATAGATTAAATGGAAATAAAAATAGACCATGTGCTATCTCATAAGAACAAAAAGTTACAAGATATTGGATGTATAAATGTGTAAAGTAGG